GGTGATTATAAATAGTGTGGTTAAATGATCAATTAGTCTGCCAACCAGAAAAAAAAATATACCACAATTTTGACAATTGTTTTATTGTATTAGTAATTTATCAAGCAAAGTTCTCTGATATATTTCAAAGGGTTTGTTGACAAGAAATTTTTAAACGTCTTGACTTCTGCGGGGATTTTGATAGACATTTGTTTTCAGACATTTGATAGACTAAACAATTAGTCAGTTAAATGAAAAACAAAAATAATAAACAGATATATAATAAAGATTGTTTGTTGCAGCTCAAAAAGTATTCAAACAACCCCGTGCTCCGTCGCTACAACAGTGGAAGCACGATACGATTCAGATCACTCATATGGCTACAGATTCCACCAGGTTTTAAGATAAGCTGAAATTCCAGTTCAGCCTCAGGAGAAAAAGGGGATCCCATTCCATTAAGGGTGTGTCCCAGTTAAAGCCCATCCCCAGAGCCTGAGAGTGTTGGGTGATGAATGAGCGACTGTGGACAGACAGACGTTACCACGTCCCTGCACCTGTTGCCTTTTTGAAATTGAGGGGATGGGAGCCTAAAAGGCCACATGGTGGATAACACCCCACACTGTTGACATCTCCAGGAACTGAGCTTGAGACACATCCAACCTCTATGCCACTCCTACTCATGCAATCTCTTCATAGAAGCATGCAGGATACCAGGATATCATGTTCCATCCAAATATAATGTGCCAGTGCAGGGCAGTGATTTGTCCAGATCTGGTGCCAGGGTGCCAGTTTATATTTAGAGACACAACTGTGAGTGGTTGTGGCTGGAACAGAAAGCACCCCACCCCACCCCCTCCAACCCATCTCAGACATCTGTCTCTCTGAAACTGGATACTAATGCACGTTGAGACTTGATTCATGTGCTCCGTTTGTTTCTGCCCTTATGTCTTTAGGATTTGAGCGGTACTAAGAAAGATAAAGAAAGTAAAAGTTGGTCATCCTCGTGTGTAAAAGAGTTGTGGATAATTTTAGTTTCGGAGTTCGTGTTTCACAAGAAGAAAACAGGGTCAAGGGAGGCAAGGAGGACATTGATGGATCCCGGGAGTAAAAGTGAGAGGAGACAACATGTTTACATCGTGGAGACAGGATATGTGTTGCCTGTCCCGTTAACTGTATGCTTGCTTGCAGACACAAGTGGAGCAGCAAGAGCAATGACCTTATCATGTCATGCCCTGACACCAGTGAGAACAAGCATGCCGAGTCTGTGGCCTTGCTCGCTGCCACCATGTTCCTCTGGAAATGGCGCGAAGATCACATGGCTGTGCCTTCCCGTGCCGGTCATGAGTTTTTACAATGTGTGTGTGTTTATTTCCATTCCATTCTGTTCCACTACTGCAAAGCCTGGGGTGAACCCTTACAGTCACATGACCTCCAACTGGAAGTGAGGCATCAATCCACTGCACAATAACAGTATGGCATCCCCCAAGTTTATGCCAACTGACTCGCACAGTTCCTTATATGGAGGCTCTATTCTTAGCACATGTGCATGATATGAAGACGGAGCTGCTGCTCGTTGTTCCTCTGCCTCTACATCTTTCAAGTTTCTGTAACTGAAACTAGGATTATACTGTATACTGCAGTTTCAAGAGAGTGTTGTTCTTGAAGTGGATGTTGTGTTAATTAGTTGAGAAGCTACTCTACAAAATGTTCAAGCTGTCTTGCTGGCTTGGTCTACTAGCAGGTTCACATTTGACCTAGAACAAGTGCTGAAAGGTTTTGCGATCGATCAGTTGTTTTTTTAAGCCTAAGCATTCGCTTAACCTTCTCTGGTATAATAAAGAATAAAGATCAGTGAAAATTGAATACCTTTGGAAAGATTGTTGGTTGAAAAAGGAAGCAATCTAAGATATCTCCTTGGGCTGCGAGAAATTGTTATAACTAAATATAAAAATTCATTGATTACTCTGAAGAAAAAATACTCAACATACTTTTTTATAATAATTACTTGTTTTAGCCCCACCAAAGACAAAAGGTCTTCCCTGGTCCACTTAGTTCTTATTAAACGAGACCCTACCAGACTGAATATCATTTGGAACCAGCCAGATTTAGACCTTACCTGGCCGGATGTGTTCCCATTTACTGCCGTGTGTTTTTGTCAATGCGATCAATACCTGAATGGAATTTGGAGGCCTCGCTATCAGCCCTGATTACGTGGTGCGTCATAATCATGGTTTTTTTTTGGAGGCGAGACGGAGAGCCTCAACTGTGATGGGCAGAGAAAATTGACATACTTGCTGTTATTTTCGACTGTGATTGGTGGTGGAGATGCACATGTTGGTGCTTTCTCCCTGTTCGTGTCCATACAGGTGCACTGCATTTTGGATCAGTTCTCTTTCCATCGTCCAAATCAGGAACGTTGTGGGATCAGTTATGCGTACAAAGAGAGTGAGTTCTCTTCCTTTTATTCATGTTAAAATATTATGTGACTCTTGTAAATCACATTTCCTTTTTATGTTTTAAGCTCTTATCTGGAGAAATGTGGCCCAGCATTGGAATCAGCTTGAATTAAGTGTTAAAAGCAAAAAGCAGCAACCGAATCCTGATCTCCCTGAAGGTGTAATGCGTACGAGTTGGGCAGAAAAGCTAAGGTGTGAACTGGACACATTACGTCATAGTAATCTGTGCTCACTCTGACAAGAGATAAAAGAACCTCATCGACTCGGCATTTTTTTTTTTTTTACCTGACTCCCAACATTTACACCAGTGGTCCAGAGCTGCGCAGCATCATCCAATCACGTCCCCTCACAACTCTTCTTCACGCTCTCTCTGTGCTGGTTACCAAGGAGACAGTGAAGTGAAGTCTGGGAAGTGGAGCAATGGTTTGGCATGAGTGTTTATTTATTTATTTATTTATTTATTTTTCTTTCTCTTTTGACATCCTGTGAACAGTACCACCTGGACTAATGAGTGTGTGTTTGTCATATTCCAAGTTAAGGAAGACACACGCGCTGAGTGTTCCCCGTACAGTGTGCGGTGTGCGTGCGTGCACTTAAAAGAGCAGCCGTGTCTTAGGCTCTGTCACCTGATCCCACCGTCCCACCTGCTCTCACCATCTTCTCTCTCTGTGATTTCCTGGCGGGATGCGAGTGAAAGGAAGGCGTGTGTGTGTGTGTGTGTGTGTGTGTGTGTGTGTGTGTGTAAGGGCGAGCTTGAACCAGCTGCAGACCATTTTGAATAATGATCTGACCTTGATCCAAGTAGGCCAGTTCGAGCCCGACCCCTATTGTAATTGTCCCAGGCACCTAGGAGGACTAGGAGTTTGGGGGCTGGGAGAATCTGGATCGTGACCTGTGTAGCATTGTCTCTTTTCTGGTGTTCTCTAGCTCTCCAGTCAAGTGGTTAAAAACAAGAGGTGGATGCAGATTGATAGATGGGCAGAGGGAACTGGATCTGGGGACGGACGTGTCAGGAGGGGGCATTGGAGATTTGAATGTGTGTGTCTAGATGTCTCCATACTAGCTGTCTTGAAGCCCAACCAGGCTGTTTGCTCTCTTAGTTCCCCAGGGTCTTTTTCAGCCCTCAGCCATCAGATACAGACACAAGTGATGTCTCTTCCCTTCCTTTTAATTATATTCCTTTCTGGGTTTCTGGTGTGCCTGTATACACACATCCTTCTTCACCTCCTCTCCATCTCTGATTACTGTATGAAACTGTTTGCTGCAGTGCTGTACAGTATGTCTGCTAGCCCTCTGCATCTCTCCTCTGCTTTGCTTTTACTTTCTCTCTAATCCCTCTTTTCAATGATTTATTTGAAGGGTGAAACTGGGTAAACACAATAGGGCTGACACACTCCTCTACACCCCCTAACCTCTGCTGCATCTCTCTTTCTCTCTCCGTCTTTCTCGTCTAACTTTCTCTCGGTTCCTCCTTTTTTATTTCTTTTTTCTGCCTGCACGTTCAGCTCCTGTGTCAGCATTTCTCTTCTCACCATGTGCGTGTCGCCGTGCTGTATGAATAAATCGGAGCTCGTTTGACTCCCGTGAACCCTGCAGCTCTCCAAGCCACCGCTGCGCCGCGCCTTTGGGGCCACAGAATTGTTGACAGGCTTTGATTTTTAGTATATGTGCGATACGCTGATGTGGGTTAAGGATTAAATGCATAAGAAGGGCGTCCTCCCCAAAATACTGCACTTCCACTTTGAAGGAAAAAGGTCTTACCTGATATTTCCTAGTCAAAATAAAAAGTAAAGGATGTCTAATTTTCTACAGTAATAGAGAAGTATCCTTATACAGTAATAATAATAAACCAACTGAAATAAGTCACACATCAAATGAAATAATTAGTAAGCATATTGCTTTCTTACTAAAAATAAAAAATAATTTCATGTCATTTGTATTTAGTATGCAGCTTGTGTCAGGATGTGGTTAGCCTAGCTTAGCACAAAAAACAGAAGCATGGGACAATAGCTAGCCTAGCTCTGTCCAAAGCGGTTTTGGGCAGTGACACATTACTTACACTAACGAGCAGTGTAAGGAAGTATGCGGTTACAGTTTGAAATTAAATGTACATTACAGTCAATAATCACACAGTAGACTGGTCTGGGATGTGTTTGCACAAAGCTAACTGTGTAATGGGATGTGGCCAGTAACAGCAAATTGAAAAGAAATGTGATTCCCGGCATGCAGTCACTGAGGCTAAGCTAGTTGTTGATGCTGCAGGGTGTCTGAGAGTTAGATGACTTGTACAATTTGTCATTTTGACGTTTTCCTTTGTATACTGGTTCAACAAACGTGTTTTTTCAGTTAATTGGTAAACTGGGAAGGTGCTGGTTGGCGTGTGAACTTTGGAAAGAGCTAGGCTAGCTGTGCTTATGCCAAGCTAAGCTAATTGCCTCCTGACTCCAGCACTTTACCAAAGACATGAGATTGATATTGATCTTCTTATCGCGCTCTCGGAAAAGAAAGCAGATAAGCGTACTTTCCATCAAAAAATATAAAACCAAAATGCTTTTCTTCCCACAGATGCAGATTCTTGACAAGTTCCCAATTGAGGGAGGGCAGAAAGACCCAAAGAAGAGGATCATCCCCTTTCTCCCAGGTAATAGCCTGCTCCAGAGCTCCAGTTATCTGAACAGGTTCCAAATTAATAATGTATGGCTTGCAGTAGCCCAGCGTCAATATGAGCTGGTTACTGATGCCTGCCTGCGCTGCATGTGTGTGTCTGTGTGTATCTGTATAGATGTGTTTTACTCCTGACAGGGCACTATCGGTGATTTTAAATCTCAGCTGGTTTGCATGCCTGTATGTCTGAGTGATTTTTTGGATCAATTTGAATTTTGTGTAACTAACTGAGATATACAGTGTGTGTGTATATGTGTGCGCGTGTGTGTGTGTGTGTGTGTGTCCTAGTATTGCCTGGAGTCATGCCACCCAGGCTCATCTCTCCTGCCTTAAGTCATCGCCTGACATTCAGGCTCACGGCGACCTACAGTACAGTGTGGCGGTGATCAATAATGGTGTTTGTGGGAGATCACTGTCAGGGGCAGAAGGGCTGACAGTGATTCTGATAATCACTCTGATGTCTCTTGTGTGTGTGTGTGTGTGTGTGTGTGTGTGTGTGTGTGTGTGTACACAGGTTTGTCATTGCAGATTTCTGTAGATTAATTAGTGCGTAGGTAGTGAAATGCCCCTTGTCTGTACAGTGCAGTTTATTTTGGTAAACACTGTTTACAGCCTTGTGGCCAACAAACGGTCACAGCATCTACTGTAAATGCGCTCTATCACCCCTCAAGCCCTCCCCCTCTTTTTAGTCTTTCTCTCTCATGCTCACACACACACTCAATTTGGAAACCCACCAAACATCCTCCTACCACTTGTCTATGAAGCCAGTGGCACCAGATGCAAACATTATCGACTGTCTGCGTTTCTTTGAGGATGTTTGTTTCAGGATAAACTCCTCTACCCTCGCTGTGTGAATTCAGTAAACTGCGGAACAGTAATTCAGATAAAGTTGGACTATTAACTAAACATTTTGCCATATACACGTTAGAAATCTCAAAACAACTTCTTCGGTGTGGGGCTTGGTAATGAACCTCAGTACTTGTTTTGGTACCGACCGACCAAAATGTGTAAATAGCACCGGCACAGTATTGAAAACTGCCAAGCACCAAAAGCTGGCATGGAACACCAGTTCTAACTCTTAATCCTGTTTACTTCAATCAGATGGTTCCGGATTTAAATGAAAAACATTGGCCAATTTTATTTAGCCAACAACCTTTCTAGGGCTTCTTGTATTTAGGCAACATTTAAAGAGGTCAAAATTCTATTTAGGGGTTGTACCAGAATAGGTTTACATGGTTTCATTTTCAAAAAACAGAATAGTTTTTGTTATACTGCACATTGCTGCAGCTCCTCTTTTCATCCTGTGTTGAACGCTTCGTTTTAGCTATGGAGTGATACATCTTTGTCTACATGATCTTTGTTGGGAGTTACACATGCGCAGTTCCTAGTTAAGGACTACTAGCCAATCAGAAGCAGAGAAGGGCGGGTCAGCGAGAACACTGTAAACAGCTCGGGTTCAGCTGTACATGTTGCCGACCAGCTTGGCAACATGGACTGGAGCAAGGGTTTCAGAGTGGTGAGTTATTATTCTGTAACAAAAGTATAAAGTTTTAACTGAGCTCTGTCTCTACATCACAGTAACAACTTTCTGTCCACTGACTGCCTGGAGGGTAGCTAGTGTTTGGAAGGGAGAAGAGAGCTGTGTGCTGCAGATTGCCGCGTTTTTGAGGGTGTGTCGGAGTAGCCTCTTGGCGAGCGTTAAGTGAGGCGCACTTGTGACAACACAGGGATGAAAGGGAAGCGGCTGGACTACAAATGAGCTGTTTTCAGGCAGTTCAGAGCAGAGTTTTCTATGGGAGATGGGAACTCCCTTTGGGCTGGACTTTGGGCTTTTTCACTTTTTCACAAACCTGTTACATGCACAAAAAAGGAGAGGGAAAAAGACAAAAAACAGAATACCACCTCTTTAAAGATATTTTTGGGCTTTTTGCCTTTAATGAGATGAGTACAGCCAGAGAGAGCCTTAGTACGTGTACTTTAACAACTTAAGCCATGTTCACACTACACGACTTTTAGCCGACGACCGCCAGGCTGTGGTCAGGAGTAAATCAGTGGTTGATCAGTGGTCGGCAGTTGTTATTTATGAACAGCTCAACGACGCACTCAAAACGTGGTGTGGAGACCAGCGTCGGGTGACCTTGTCAGCTCGCGTAGTGTGTGACCTCCTGACACGATCAGTCACGTAGTGTGAACGCCACAACGACTTCAAGACTCCCGTCACAAGACGGCAAGTTGTGTAGTGTGAACAGCACGGCCATCGCCGACGCTGAAAGTCGTGTAGTCTGCACGAGGCACACGCTAAACAGCACGTCAAAGTTTCATTTCAGACCCTGGTCAGGCAGCATCTAACATTTGAGAAGTGTAAAGAAACTAAAGAAAATATAGGTATTAAAAAATATTGCTTTAGTATCCGTAACAAAACTCAGTCATCAGTTATTTAGATAGAGCTGAAACAACATGAGCTGTTTTAATAATCAGTAAGTAAATAAAAATTGAATGAAGAAAGAATTTCACAAAATTTGATGTTTTTCTTCTACATTTCTAAACTGAAATTCTTGGGTTTTGGACTGTTGGTCAGACAAAACAAGCTGTTAGACCAAATAATGAATAGAGATTTTAAAACTTCCCTTTGGTTCTTGTTGTCAGTCTTCCCAATAAAACTACAGCACTCCGTCAACAATAGTAAAATTCTGCCTTGTCTCACCTCCATTTTGTGTCTTCTTTTATAGGCGCGCAGTGTACAACATGAGAACCTGTAATGCTAACCCACTCATACCTAATAGCTGATAGCATATTTACTTGAAATCATCAGGTTTCAGTCATATAAGGCACACTACTTGTCAGAAAGCCCTGATGGTGGTTTAAAATGATTTGTTTGGAAACTTATTTTGTATTTATTCATCGATCAGTAGCCCGGTGAATATGTAAAATGATCACTATGTTTATTCTTGGTCATGTAGCATTAGGACTGCTTAAATAGTACCTCCAAATGAGCTGATTGTGTAAGAAACACTCATCGCTTTACACTTTAAACAGGATGCAGTGCATATATTTTGATTGTAGGGGGTTGGTAGTGTGACTTTTATGTTCCCCCTGGGTGGGATGAGAGGAGGGCCTAAAATGCACGATGTATGTATGTATCCTAGTTTTTATTTAGAAAGTCATGTCACAGACAGAGGTCATGGAATCCATAGGGGAACATCTGGGGCCTTGAGTGTGGGACTGAGATTGCTTTGGCCATGATGAATCACCAGTGTACATTACGGACATCTCCTGGTCGGCCCGTGTATTACACAAAGCAGTCAGTGCTGCAAAATCAGTATAAACTTATTGTATTTTTCGGTAGGACTGTAAACGTGTCAAATATTTACTCCTCTTCTCTGTCTGTTGTCTCCTCTTCCTTTCCATCTATCATCACACAATTCCTCTGCTTTCCTTTCCCTCCTCCTGCATATTGATTTTTCTTCTTTCTCCTTTTCCTCCCCTTCAGGCAAAATCCTGTTCCGGAGGAGTCATGTGCGAGACGTGGCCATGAAGCGGTTGCGTTTCATCGATGACTACTGCAGGGTAAAGAGGCTTTACTGTCAACAACCTTTAGTTTCCCATTTGACTCTGGGGAATGTCCCCCAGCCTGTGAGGGGTCAAATGTCACGGCCCATATCGTCCTTTCACATGCTTGAAACATGGGACGTGAAAAGTCCTTGCAGTGTACAGCTCTCTCTCTCTCTCTCTCTCTCTCTCTCTCTCTCTCTCTCTCTCTCTTTATATATTTATATATATATATAAAAACACTATTCTGAGACATTTGAAGAGTCAGTAATCTGCTCTGACAATTCAGTTGTCTGAGACTATGAAGGACTCACAGTGGTGGGAAAATGTTATGATCTTTTCCTACTGCATTTGAAGAAGGGTTGTTTATTTCCAGGGGTGCCACAGTCAGAAAAGCGGAGTGACCTAGTTGTGCATCAAAATTCTCAGTCATTGCATGAAACAGACTTTGAGCTCTTCTGTTATTTCCAAAAAGTCCCACTCACTAACTACCCTATCCCTTCATTTGAAAAAAGTTCTCCTCCAAATTAGCGTCCCGTTACCCGAAGAAAAAAGAATCCTTGAAAGCGGCGGCCTTTCGTCATTCTCTAGTCAAAGGAAGGCTGGCCTTATCACTTCCTGTTCTCTCTCTTATTAGTTTTTATTTATTTATGCCAGATTCAGATCCTTTCCTCATGCCCTCCCCACTTCCTTGCATTTTGGAACAAAACCACACAAGCAGTAGGGAGAGCGTGCATTAAATCACATCTGGGCTCTTATGTTTGTCTCTATATGCACAGTTAGGGAGCAGCATTGTTGGCCTGCATTAAGAAAGGTTAGCCACAGTATCAGCTCAGTAATTAGGACCTAAAGAAGTTTAAAAACCAAAAGCAATCACACACATCTGAAATTAACCTGATCTTTACCTCAGCACAGGCAAAGGCTTCCTCATTACCAAAATATCCTGAAGCACTCTAATGTTTCCAGTTGCTATAGCAAGCCTGTTTTCTTTGCCCAGTGCTGGAGTGTGCCACGCTGTTTACTTCCTACCTCCTGTTTATGAGGCACACAACAGAGAGGAAGAGTAATTATACAGTCTTCTCGAAGGATCTGCTCTGTAAAGATTGCAGGAGTCCAGCCAGCGGTAGGTGCACAGCGAGATATGACCTCTTCCGTCACAACCACAAGGCCATTTCAATAATATAGGATCCAATGAATGAAATATGAAGGTAGCTCGGGCTGTGCCGATTTAAATGAAAAGCCTACACGCTACATATGTTGTTGCGTATCTTTACGGTCCAGCACCCTGGTTCTGTACATGAGCTATTCCTTTGGTGGGAGCTGACCAGATCATTACATATAGATGGTTAGACAGTGTAGGAAGCATTGTTAATTTCCTTTTGGTAGCCAAACGTCTGTGTTGTTCACCTTAATTATATTGAGGTGAATCACACAGACCTCAGTTGTAATCAGTCTTGGGGAGTAACTAGTTACATGTAATTTAGTTATGTAATTAAATTCCAAAATAAATGTAACTGTAATCCATTACAGTTACCATTACAGGCGGCTGTGGCTCAGGAAGTGGAGCGGGTTCCATTAATCGGAAGGGCGGCGGTTCAATCCCCGGCTCCTCCAGGTCGCATGTCAAAGTGTCTTTGGGCAAGAAACTGAACCCCGAATTGCCAGGGCATGAATGTATTTGAATGTTAGTTTCTGTTTGAGCACTTAGGCTCAGTGTATAAATGTGAGCGGATGGTGAATGCAGAATAATTATTAGCCGAGTCCCATAAACGCAGGTCTCCATTAAACTCCTGGTCTGGTTTTTATAGAAGTTCTTTGGATGTATAAAATCTCTTAAACCCCGCGGGGTCGCCTTTAGCTTTAGCTGCTTCTAAGCTGCTTAGATCGTTAATGCAAATATTAATGTTTAATATTATGATCAATATGTCAGATTCTCCACAATTCAATCGTTCAGTTCATTTAACGGAAACAACAAGCCCCAAAGTCTAATTGTTATAGATTTAACCGGAATGGTACAAGAGATGGCAAGAAAAAAAGAAGTTCAGACTCCCATTACCTCTTGAAGCGCTCGTTAAGCCCGAATGTGTCCGTTCCTTGATTATTTATATTCCTTTAGTCTGTAAGGGTCCACCGATCATAAGAATCAAAACAGCTTTTCATAAAAATTAATCCAAGTAATGAATCCTGTTATGTGAAGTCCATCGCACTCAGTCTGCTAACTTCTGCCACGCTTCTCTCATCCTACACCCTGTTGTTGTTTTCGTTACGTTGCTGCCTACAAAATAAAAGCGCATAAGCCGTCTGTCGGAGATGAATGATTAAATCATTGATCAAATTATAAAATTTATTTGATATTATTTAATAATTTTTAATTTTGAACAGTAAGATTTTGTTTGAAATAAATAAACTGTTGAATAGTAGCACATTTCTGTTTTGGCAGGGTCAATTCAGTGACTTAAGTGTTTATTAATCAAAGTTTTCCGCTAGCTAGGCTTTATGTTACATAATATTCGTTTTGTTTCATTGCATGTTTTTCATGTGTCTTACTTTGCCATTTCCAGCCACAGTCTGCCAGTTAAATTGCCTCTCTAGAAATTTGAAAAGTAATCAAAAAGTAATTAAATTTAATAAGCTACGTTACTTTGATAAATTAATTGAAATAGTTATTCTACAAGTTTGTTTCAAATAGGCTAACTTGAAATCGGTAACCTATTACATTTCCAAAGTATCCTCCCCAACACAGGTTGTTAAACACTTCCTCCAAAATCCAAGTTTAAAACCTAAACATTAAAATCTTTTTAAAGCTGCATTAGTGGATTATTTTGTTGTCACGTTTCTGGCTACTTGATAATTGCAAATCCAGTAAACAGAACAAACAAACTTTTGTATTTTGCTGTATTCGGGACTTTTCTGGGCATTAACCTCTGTTCCTTGCTCTGCCTCTCCCTCGGGGCTCTGTTCTGCCATGTTTGACACTATAATCAAAAATCAAAAATGTTCCCGCAGGTAGTCCGGTACACTGCTCTTGAGTCACTGCCTTATGTAGGTATGTGTAGGTGGTACATTGGGTTGTGTCCTGGCAACCGCTGTCTGTGGGCGTGAGCTTCTGCTGTCATTGAGCCGGGGCCAACTTTGAATGTTGTGTTTACAAACCGCAGCCGACAAATCCTACTCATTCTGCCTTTAACTTGGTCTGCTTTTTGGTGCTAGGCAGTTAGCAGTAACAGTGGGTTTATCAGAGCAACTGTCTGCGGCAAAAATATCTAAAGAAGCTGAAAGAGCTCTGTAAAGGTAAACGGTAACTATGGAGTGATAATTCCTTGTTGGTTTGTCTGTTTGAGTGGCCCGTTTAAAATTACACACAGTCATTTGATCCATTATTAATATAAAACTGTTGATCAGTGCAGCTTTAATGTACTAAACAAGTAAAGAACATGATTTCAGATGTAGGCTGTCGTCTCAGTAACCTCCCTTTCTCGCTCTGTCTCTCTCTTCAGGCGCTGGTGCGACTCCCCCCTCAGATTTCTCAGAGTGAGGAGGTGCTGCGCTTCTTTGAGACAAAAGCCGAGGACATCAACCCCCCAGTGGAGTGAGTGTCACATACACATACTGTGCATGCACAAAGAAACGCAAAACACACGCTCTACGTAAAGGCTTATCCACCGCCTGATTTAGGCGTCAAATTCTCCAGTGACACCACCATTACTGCGGTGGTACTAGTGGGTGACCGATATGGGTTTTTCAAGGGCCAATGCTGATCCTGATATTAAGAGAGCAGGGCTGCCATTGGCCGATATATAATGCTGATATATCTATTATTCCATTCAGAGTACATCTGATATACATGGTTATCAGTAACATGGTTTTAGCGGGAGTTGCAAATGAATGAAATAGAAAAATACTGTACATTGGGTTCTTCTGTAGATTTCAGAACATGACTGGAGTTTAAGGAAAAGTGGGGTACAGTTTGTCCGAAGTGACGTCATTATTCTCTACAGTATAAATATATTATTTAACGCTAGCCAGTAAGTGGTTTTAGATTAGATCCGCTTTCATTTAGGATCGGAGAAACAAAGGGCTTAAAGTTCTCCGGCGCTGTGCCGGAATTCCGGCGTGGGGCGTTTAATATTCGACAATATGTCTGTGGAAAGTATTCTTGCATATTTTTTTTTTTAACTGTATGTGATATGTGTGTGTGAAGCACCAGTCCGCAGCACAATTGGTGGTTCGGTGTATACACGAAAGAAAGAAAAGGGACTGGCACTTCCCGACTATGTGGACACTCATTGGCTGTTGAAGTCTGTAAACAGGGGAAATTTCTATTGGGTCAACTGAGGTGTCTATCAAAAGGTCAACGTGTAGGCACTTTTTTTGGTTTACACGCTAACTGAAGTTAGGCTGATATAAAACAACGCAACAGCAGTCCGTGTGTATTTATTGAAATAATAATGCTTTTTGGATTAAATATTTTATTGATCGTATGGACCTTTGCCAGCGTAACAAGGCCATTTTTGTCAGAATGTAATAAATCAGTGGACTACGGCTTCACAGATAAGTGGCGTCAATTCTGATTACAGGCAGTACTTGAAGAATCCATCTATGGTTCGTTCTTTCATTATTCTGTTTCAAAACCAAGTTGTTTTTTCAAAACGGAAAAACAGATAAACAGACATCAGTTTTTGTTTTTCTGCCCCCCCATCATATATTTCCACATTGAAGATTTCTTCTGAACAATGTATAATTATCTTCTCGTCTTGTTCTTGTGAACCCAGTATCGTGTTTCCATGTGTCTGGTGAGCTAAGTGTATCGTCACACCCCTAATCTAAGCCCCCATACACATTTCAGGCACAGAAAATGTTCTTGCTTTAAGACCTGGAACATATTAACATGTAAAAAAGATGATGATACAGTGCAGTATGACCAGTAGCCTTGGAGTCTAATGTTAGCTAATATTAGGAAACCTTTGATAGGTATTGCTGTGTGCAGTAGCTGGCATTAATAGTTTGTTGACTCTTGTATGTATGTTTTAGTGCGCCGATGTCCTGTAATCACGACTAGTGGGGGCTGGTCAACAAAAATTGCATAGTCTCACTTTGAACCGTAGCCGATACAAATTTTAAAAGAACTTTGAATTTGCTTGCGTGTGATTATAAATCAACAAACTAATCTATTAGTTATTGCTAGTCAGATTAAATACTTATTATAAACCTCTTACATATTGTAAACCCCTGAAACTGGGGTTAAGTGTAAGGAAATATTTTTGAGATTAATTGAAAGTTTATTGTGGGAGAATCTTAAAACTACACACCATAAGATGAAACACTGTACTAAATTTGGTTGCAAAGTTTTTTAGATGCTAACATATAACCATAGTTTCAATGGCATTTTCATGACTATATTTCAGCATGCAGCACGTTGTACAAGAGCTACTGGACGTGTTTCTTGACAAAAGTTGTACACACAGCTTCAAATCTTCATTCTTTACATAAATTATAGCATCATTGCTCAAGTTTACAAGTGAGATGCCACCGCAGTAATGATGGCTTATTTATTTTTGCCTACAAACTGGATCAGTCTGTACAGATTCATATGAATGCACACACACAGATGCACATGCATGCACACAGTATGTAAATTTGCTCATACTAATTACATGCACAACATGAAAACAAAATGTTGAAGAGGAATTAAATCACTTTAATCACACAACAATAGCTCAGAGTTGTTGATACACCTAGCACAAGTGCTTCAGCACCTGTGCATCGTGTCACGGATGTAACCGAATTTTGCGTGACGTTGTTTCACCCATCACCTCAAAAACAGCATGATTATACCGTGGCTAAGCTCATTACCCCTCTGTCTGTCCTCACTTCCTAGCCTATTCCCGAATCAGCTCTTTCTCTCTGAGTTCGTTGAAACCTCCTACCAGGCCAGACAGAAGGGGGGGTTACAGAGAATTGATGGATATGAGAGTGGGTGAGGAGAATGACTTGTTTCGTAGCAGGAGATAGCCCCTTTGGGTAGTTTTTAATTAGAGAACACACTCACTTCTCCAAAACTCAAATGACAGTATTGCACTATTCATTTGTAATGTGTTCCTGCATGCATCCTGAGACAGCTGCACACAAGTATTTGGTCTTGTTAGACCCAGGCTATGTCTTTTTTGGTATTTTAATTACTTTTCCCAATATTTTCTCCTCTCCTCTCCTCTGTTGTCAGTCTGTAGTTCAGAGTTTTGTCCTCATCTTTCTCTCTTGGATGTGAGGAAAGACGTGAAGCAGGCAGGATTTAGTGACCTCTCCCTGCCAGGGTTTTCCGGCACACCATGATAGGGTCTCTCTATCTTCCCCCCCTCCTCTAATTCTTTGTATCTGTCTCGGCTTCATAAATTCAAGTACGTTTAATTGATGTGACAACTCAAGGTTACAAACACCAACACCAATGCAGTCATGCGACTCATTCATTTCCTCGCTGTCCATACAAATTTCCATCTTGCTTACATCTCTCTTTTACTGTCTTTTGGTCTCTCCTCTTTCCTTTGTCTCTATGAGCATCATTCGCTCTCTTCTTTCTCCCAGTCTTTTCCTCTGTCCTGTATATGCCAGTGTAATTTAGACTGTGACACACAGACTGTAACAGACAGACTGTGACAGACAGACTGTAACAGACAGACTGTAACAGACAGACTGTGACAGACAGACTGTAACAGACAGACTGTGACAGACAGACTGTAACAGACAGACTGTAACAGACAGACTGTGACACACAGACTGTGACACACAGACTGTGACACACAGACTGTGACACACAGACTGTGACAGACAGACTGTAACACACAGACTGTGACAGACAGACTGTGACACACAGACTGTGACACACAGACTGTGACACACAGACTGTGACAGACAGACTGTAACACACAGACTGTGACACACAGACTGTGACACACAGACTGTAACAGACAGACTGTGACACACAGACTGTGACACACAGACTGTGACACACAGACTGTGACACACAGACTGTGACAGACAGACTGTGACACACAGACTGTGACAGACAGACTGTGACAGACAGACTGTGACACACAGACTGTGACAGACAGACTGTGACACACAGACTGTGACACACAGACAGACTGTGACACACAGACTGTAACACACAGACAGACTGTAACACACAGACTGTGACACACAGACCGTGACACACAGACCGTAACAGACAGACTGTGACAGACAGACTGTAACACACAGACTGTGACACACAGACTGTGACAGACAGACTGTGACAGACAGACTGTGACAGACAGACTGTGACACACAGACTGTGACACACAGACAGACTGTGACACACAGACTGTAACACACAGACAGACTGTAACACACAGACCGTGACACACAGACCGTAACAGACAGACTGTGACACACAGACTGTAACAGACAGACTGTGACACACAGACTGTGACAGACAGACTGTGACACACAGACTGTGACACACAGACTGTGACACACAGACTGTGACACACAGACTGTGACAGACAGACTGTGACAGACAGACTGTGACACACAGACTGTGACAGACAGACTGTGACACACAGACCGTGACACACAGACTGTAACAGACAGACTGTGACACACAGACTGTGACACACAGACTGTGACACACAGACCGTGACACACAGACCGTAACAGACAGACTGTAACACACAGACTGTAACACACAGACCGTGACACACAGACTGTAACAGACAGACTGTAACAGACAGACTGTAACAGACAGACTGTAACAGACAGTCTGTGACAGACAGACTGTAACAGACAGACTGTAACAGACAGACTGTGACACACAGACTGTGACACACAGACTGTGACACACAGACTGTGACACACAGACTGTGACACACAGACTGTGACACACAGACTGTGACAGACAGACTGTGACAGACAGACTGTGACAGACAGACTGTGACACACAGACTGTGACAGACAGATTGTGACACACAGACTGTGACACACAGACTGTGACAGACAGACTGTGACACACAGACTGTGACACACAGACTGTAACACAGAGACTGTGACAGACAGATTGTGACACACAGACTGTGACAGACAGACTGTGACACACAGACTGTGACACACAGACTGTAACACAGAGACTGTGACAGACAGACTGTAACACAGAGACTGTGACAGACAGATTGTGACACACAGACTGTGACACACAGACTGTGACACACAGACTGTGACACACAGACTGTAACACAGAGACTGTGACACACAGACTGTAACACAGAGACTGTGACAGACAGATTGTGACACACAGACTGTGACACACAGACTGTGACACACAGACTGTGACAGACAGACTGTGACAGACAGACTGTGACAGACAGACTGTGACACACAGACTGTGACACACAGACTGTGACAGACAGACTGTGACACACAGACTGTGACACACAGACTGTAACACAGAGACTGTGACAGACAGATTGTGACACACAGACTGTAACACAGAGACTGTGACAGACAGACTGTGACACACAGACTGTGACACACAGACTGTGACACACAGACTGTAACAGA